AGGAGAAGGACATCAGTGGGAAATCCAAATAAGGTCTGAGTTTAGTAAATAGAACTGTACCAATGTTAACTTGCTGGTGTGGTAACTGTGCTGTGGTTATGTAAGACGTTAACATCAGGAGAACTGGGGAGAAAGGAATATGGGAAATCTGCGCTATTTCTGAAACTTTTATGTAGGTTTAAATTTATTCCAACATAAACTTAAAAAAAGGTAGTAACAGCTATAATCCACGAGTACGTGCTGACATAGTAAGTGGGGAAAGAGAAAGCTTTTTCTTAAACTATAATGCAAACGAATAAACGCAGAAGAAATGCTGGTATTAGAAAAATCCTCGGGCGCCTGGGTGGCTCAGTCGTTAAGTGTCTGCCTTGGGCTCAGGTCATGATCCAAGGGTCCTGGGATCTAGTCCCACATCGGGCTCCCTGTTTGGCGGGAAGCCTGCTTCTCCCTCTCCCACTCCCCCTGCTTGTGTTCCTGCTCTCACTATCTCTCTCTGTCAAATAAATAAATAAAATCTTAAAAAAAAAAAAAAAATCCTCATTCGGCAACTATCTTAGTAATAAATGATTCAGGCAAGTACCAGCGGGAGGTAAAAGATGAGAAAAAAACCTACTTATATGGTTTCAATGTTTCTCCTGACAGTTACTAATTGTTAGTAATTACTTATTAATAAAAAGAGATGCCTGGCAGACAAATGAACACCACAAGTTGTAGGGCAAACTGACACTGCGCACCTCCTGATGTGAATTACTGAGAAGAGCCTGGCCCCGCTTCTGCATAAATCATAAATCATGAGGAAACATTAGTCAAACCCAGATGGAGGGACATTCCACAAACGAACTGGCCTGTACTCTTCAAAAATTTCAAGGTCACGAAAGATAAAGAAAGAATGAGTTGTTTTTCTGGATTGGAGAGACCAAAGAGACATGACAAGTATATGGACCCTGCGGTCCTGGCATGGATCCTGGATCGAGAAAAGACATGACGGGCAGGGACCACCGGCGAAATGGAGTGGCGTCTACGAATAAAATGGTACTAATGGATCAAGTTAACTTCCTGATGTTGATAGGTGTACTGTGGTTAGGTAGACTGCGTGCTTGTTTACAGGAAACACAGACTGAAGTCCTGAGGAGTAATGGGGACACTCTTGCCTGCAATTTGAAGAGTGTCTATGCTGAGAAATCTCTTCTCCAAGAGTCAGCCAGAGAAAATCACTACATTCCCAAGAGTAAAAGTTATATGAACTTCCTTCTGGAACATAAACAAAAATTGAGAAAGCCACTTAAAGCATAGAAGGACAGCTCAGCCAACTCCGCTAAGGAGATGGCTTTGGGGATATCTCTACTTCCTTTCTCCTCCCTAGGTCCCGGCTCTGCAGTCCTCCTACTGCTGTTTGGCTTTTGGCTGGCTCAGGTGCTGCCAGAACTTTCCCTGGGCAGATGGGAGGCTGGGAAGACGAGAGGGCAGACCCCATGCCAGGCCCAACAGAAAGCTGGCAACACTGATCAGGCCACCCAACCGCTGACGAGTCTGGAACAAGGGCACCAGGCGGGCAGGGCAGGCACAGCTCCTGACCACTCATGCCAAGTGCCAACATGTCCTCTCATCTCATCCTTGCCACTAAGTGCACTGGAGAGAGGACAAAACCAACTCTGAGAGGTTGAGTACCATGCTTGAGGTCCCAGGCTAGTGAGTGCAGAGCTCGGACTCAAATCCAGGTCTGTCTGGCATCCAGGCCCACGCTCTTTCCACTACACTGTGTTGGGTCTCTGTCTTCTGGGAGCTTGTGAATGGCCTAAGATTTTCCTTCCTTGCAGATTTTTGAGTCAGAGCCACAAGAATGAAATACGTACAAAATCAGTCCCCCACCTGAGTTTCTTCCCTTAGGAGTCTTGGACAAAAGGGAGGAAGGGTTTTGTAGAACCCCTTGAAATTGCACTCAAGATAGAGTGTGGGTTTATGTGAATTTTTTTTTTTTGACAAGAAGAGTCTACAGTTTCATCAGGCTCTCAAAGGGATCTGTGACTCAAAAAAGGTTAATAGCCACCGCTTTAGGCATTATTTTGTCTGATTCTCTGCTTTAAAAGATGTGGAAATGGATTTCTTGAACTCTAATTTCTACTTCCAAGCCTTTGCTGCTTATTCTGGAGCGACAACAGCACAACCTACGCAATTCTCCTATGAGTAGCTTCTGCTACTTCCCCGGTGCTGTGGAAACATCCTAGTGAGGCCAAGTGGCAGGAGGAGTGGCCCACACTTCATTTTTCATACAGAAATGGAGAGTCCCTAAGGAAGGGAGGTCTGGCTCTCTGCCCGAAGCATCATGAACAATGAGTACACTTTATATGAATCAAGGCCATGTGAAAAGAGTAGATACCAGAATTATGATAATTCAGAAAAATGACTCTCTAGACCAGGTAGGTTTGGGGACAGTACGTGGTTATCTCAGATATGCACTTTAAACTCTGGATCCAACAGCTTTTAAACCTTTCTAAAAATAAGAATTTGGGTTGATGAGGGAAGAACGGGCTTTGTCCAAAAACAGTCATCCAGGTGGGCTGCTCAAGACCTGTGTAATCTCATAGATAAATAACGGATCTTTTACCTGCTCCTCCAGGTGTCTTATTAATTTCCTGAGAAATAATTTTTTTTTAAGATTTTATTTATTTATTTGAGAGACAGAGAGAGAACGAGTGATGGGGAAGGGGGGCAGGGGAGAGAGTGAGAAGCAGACTCCCTGCCAAGCAGGAAGCCCAACTCAGGGCTTGATCCCAGGACCTGCAGATCATGACCTGAGCCTAAGGCAGTCACTTAACCGACTGAGCCGCCCAGGCGCCCCAGAGAAAGAACTTTTTCACAGAGAAGACAGGGTGTTCCAAAGGAGCAAACAGCAATAAGTAATTACTGCCTTTCTGTGTACCTTCGGATCTAAGCCCAATGGATAGACGGGAGGAGGCGACTGGCTTTACAAGGCAAAACGTGAAAGCAACTCTTTTTTGGAGGAGGATGGTGGGCAGGAGGTTGTTTTTGTTTTTTAAAAGATTTTATTTTATTTGATAGAAAGAGACACAGCGAGAGAGGGAACACAAGCAGGGGGAGTGGGAGAGGGAGAAGCAGGCTTCCCGCGGAGCAGGGAGCCTGACATGGGGCTCGATCCCAGGACCCCGGGATCATGATCTGAGCAGACGCTTGACGACTGAGCCACCCAGGCGCCCCAAGAGGTTGTTTTTGTTAACATAGAAGGTCTTCTACAAAGTTCATTTTCTACGACTTTACTATGAAACATTTTGTAACTGGGGACAAAAAGAGTAGATACAAACTACAAGATAAAATAGGTGAATAATGATAATGTTCCATGTAGTGATTCCACTTGAAACAGTCTCTTAATCTTATGGTTTCTCTCTGAAACATACTCGGAAAAAAGAATTTGCTAATCCACAAAGAACCATTACAAAAAAAAAAAAAGGGACTAAATTTCAGCGCCTAAATGCTTTCCCAGAGAACTCCCTTTGAGAACTTTCTCACAGCCACTACTGTGCTCCCTGCCTGAGCCACTGTCTGTCTGGTCCTCCCAAGTGCATTCTTCAGGCTATAAGGCCTCATCTCAGAGCTGGGGCCAGCCTGTCTCCAGAAACTTGACCTTTCCAAAATCTGCCTTCCAGTGTGGAAAGGCCTTCACCAGTTCCTGTGGCTGGGGACAGAGGTTCAGGGATGAGGAGGGGTCTTCCTCCTTTGCGTGAATAACGGACATTGGAACTTGAAGATACTCTTCTGACTGTGAGAAACTTGGCTGCAGTGGGCTGCTTTGTGAAAATTTTCGGAACTCCTGAGTTTGTAAAAAGCATATATGTTAAATGGTTGATAATCCATAAAAGAAAGCAAGAATCCACCAGTCCATACTGACAGAAATACACACGCACACGGGGGAGAGGGGGAAGTACTTCCTTACAGAAGAACTCCAATTAACAATAGAGGAGAAATGATGGAAACAGAAAATCAACATTTGGCAAACACTACAGTAATAACTGCTTCGGGCAGAAATCATCAAGGATGTCAAAATGAGTGGGAAAAGTGTGAGGAGAAACAGGATATTCACATAGTCCCAAGTATCCCCCCACGAGATACTTATTAATTACAAAGAGAAAACAGCAGCTTCACAGCAGAGAAAGCTAGCAGGCGCCACCTTAAGCAAGTGATCAACGTTAACATCACCAGTAACGGGACACAGCCACATGATGTGCCTCCTGATATGACGTACCCAGAGGGACACAACATCACCTGCATGGTATACTTGCCCACAACGCATAATCTGGATTTAATCAAGAGCAAACATCAGACAAACTGAAACTGAGGGCACTGCAGAAAATAACTTGTCAATACTCTGTGAAGTGTCAAGGTCAGGAGAGACAAACAAAAGACTGGGGAAGTATTAAAGGTTAAGGGAGACTAAAGAGACCTGACAACCAAAGGCACGGTGGGACTTTGAGCCAGAAAGTGGACATTCATGGCACAATGTTACCCTCCTGATTTTGATAACTGTGATTATGTATAAAATGGTAGCATTCTCTGGGGGAAGGATCTATGAGAATTTTTTGTAACTTTTTTGTCAGTCTAAATTATCTCAAAATGAAAACCTAAACAAATTATACTTGAAAACATGTATATTAGAGAGTAGGTTTTCTTTCTCCATTTTCCAGTGCCTGACATGGTCAAGCCTGTGTAGCTATGTAAGAAGAGCTCAGTGCCCAGATGGGAAGGGGTTGTTGGGATCCATTTGGGACCTTATTAGAGTCAAACTCAGGCTTCTTCGATTTATGGATACAATGAACGATAACATTCACAAGATATAAAAATACCCTTAGAAGATTTCCAAGGAGGGTCACAGGAGGCCTGCCAAGTCTCTCCTTCAGCCTCTGGAAGGAGTTGTGCCCTTGTGAGGCCCAACCATGACCAGAGGAGGGAGAAATGCAGTAGAAAACAGCAAAACGTTCATCACTCACTTGTCCTGGGACTCAATATACACGTAGAGATGAGGCTCGAAACACTTGGAAACAATGCCATGAAATGGATTGTCTGGGGCTTTCGGCTTCTTTGGCTGTAAAGGGGGGAAAAAAGAAGAAAGCAAGCTACGCTTGAGCTATCTTTGCAAGTTTTCAAGCAGTTTCAAAGAATACATCCCTTCAAAGTTTACTCCTGACATAGATAAGAAGCACTCAATGTAACTGAACTGGGGCTGTGTCTTGCATTATGATTCACGCCAGGTTGTGAACAATGAGCCATCACTGACTTGCCTTGGATGGTGAAAGATTTACTGCTACTCTGATAACACATGTGCTTTCAATCTGGAAGCTATTCATCATCCGACTGATGTTTTAAAATTTTAAATCCTAGCTAATAACAGTACCTTATTTATATTTGTACAGTGCTTTAGAATTTATAAAGTGCTTTCATGTGATCTATTTTTGACAGCCTCCATTTAGTGACTGTTTTTTTTTTTTTTAAAGATTTTATTTATTTATTTGACAGAGAGAGAGAGAGAGAACAAGTACGCAGAGAGGCAGGCAGAGGGAGAGGGAGAAGCAGGCCTCGATCCCAGGACCCTGGGATCATGACCCGAGCCGAAGGCAGCCACTTAACCGACTGAGCCACCCAGGCGCCCCTAGTGATTGTTTTTATGGACCAAGCACTTTAACATGAAATAACATCTCATCTATTTCTCACAACAACCCTCGGTGTAGGAATTATTACTACTATTTCACACCTAAAGAAAGGAAGGCTCAGAGGGTTTTAGCAGCCTGCCCAAAGGCACACGGCCTGAACTCTTTCTATTATAACACTGCTTTGCCGTGATGGTTCCCAGACTGTTGAATTGCACTGACGAGTAAATGCAAGAAGAAGAACGGTAAAGGACCAACATAGCATTGCTAACTTTTTGTTTTGCCACTTTCCATTCTCGCGAGTCCCTAAGAGTATTTTACACCCAAACATTTTATCGGGAGAAAATAGCAGCATGAGGGCAGTCCTTCCTATGAAAAGACAGTTGGTGACCTTATACCAGATAGATATATATATAGATAGACAGGCAGGCAGGCAGGCGGGCTGTTTTGTCTTTATTGTTTGCCTTGGACCATTGTAAAACAGGGCCAGCACTGGTCCTCAGTTGATACCTAAAAACCGCTGATATACAGGACATCTAGGTAGGCAAGCATTTAAAAACTCTATTCGTTTCCTAATTCTTTTTCCAAAATATCTAAAAAATAAGCAAAGATCTGCCTACATATCTCTTTCTATTTCTAAAAAAAGTCAATTCTATTTATCATCAAATGCCAACAAAAGGATCCTGAGCCCTTGCTGGGGTTGATACTAGAGTACAATTTGGGCATAGATTGATACCCACAGCATACTTGCTGGATTGAACTGTTCATATCTTTTAATAAACATAAGAAAAACTAAGCTCCTAATGACAAACAGAATAATGATTCCCTTCTCCTAGTAACTTCTAAAAATAAAACACTGTAATGGTTAAAAGCATCTGTAAAATCTGGAAATGAACACCAAAAATTAAATGTCAACCTTAGACATATCCCCTTCAATCTCCTGTTTAGCTCTCTCCCCTCATCACCTTCGGAGAGTTCCATGTCTTTAAGTTTTTTTGCAAGATTTTTAGAAACTCTGGTCTAAAATAATTACAATCAGGCTATTTTCCTTATCATCCAGAAGCTACCGCCAAAGTCAGGTCTGAGACTGAGCCCACAAGAGACTCCCCAGCCTGGGTTCACTGAGTTTGAACTGGCTGGATCCAAAGTTCCACTTCATTTCACAGATACCCTGGGAGTTTCTCCCACACTCCCATCAGTTTAAAATGGCGAATCCATGATGTAGTACAATGGCTGTAGGGGTGGTCCTTACCTAATTGTTCTATATTTTCTGAATCAGTTACCTATTTTTTTATTATTTCATTCTTTTCAATAAGGTGATTGTTAAATGAATAGACAAATGTGATTTGTCTAACTTATATAAGACCAGATACCCTGATTTTATTTTATTATTATTATTTTTAAAAAATTTTATTTATTTGACAGAGAGAGAGAGATAGCGAGAGCAGGAACACAAGCAGGGGGAGTGGCAGAGGGAGAAGCAGGCTTCCCGCGGAGCAGGGAGCCCGATGTGGGGCTCGATCCCAGGACCCTGGGATCATGACCCAAGCCGAAGGCAGATGCTTAACGACTGAGCCACCCAGGCGCCCATGATATCCTGATTTTAGAATTGAAAACTATAGCCACAATACCCAGATATCTTTTTTTTTTTTTTTAAAGATTTTATTTATTTATTTGAGAGAGAGAGAATGAAAGAGAACACATGAGAGGGGGGAGGGTCAGAGGGAGAAGCAGACTCCCTGCCGAGCAGGGAGCCCAATGTGGGACTCGATCCAGGGACTCCAGGATCATGACCTGAGCCGAAGGCAGTCGCTTAACCAACTGAGCCACCCAGGCGCCCTACCCAGATATCTTTTTATTAATAAAATATAGTCATTGTAAGGATTATAATTATCCCTTTTATTTATATTTTCTTCTTGTGCCAAAAATATTCACATGTCTACAGGATATTTTCTGGGAATTATAAATTGGGAGTTTATATAATACAGAATGTTGTCATGTTTTAAATCAACATATTTTAAATCAAGTATTTTGTATTTGGCTTTGTTTACCAATTTATGTGCAATTTTCCAATTACTGACATTGTTTATCACCTTAGAATGGCTACATTATGAAATTTAAGCTCTATAAATTAGATAGTAGTACTGTACTGATATTACATTTTCTAATTTTGATCTGTGGTAATTTAAGTGAATGGCCTTCCTGTTAGGAAATACATATAGAAATATTTAGAGGTAAAGGACATGATATATGCTAATTTACAAACTATTCCAAAAGATAGAGAGAGAGAGAGGGAGAGCGAAGACAGGGAAAGAGAGAGAGAGGGAGAGGAGGAATGGGGGTGGAAAAAAAGGAAATGGTAAAGTAAATGTAGCAAAATGTTAACAACTGGTAAACCCAGGTAAAAGATATTTGAGAGTTCTTGTAATATTCTTAAAACTCTTCTCTAATTTAGGTATTTTCTTTTAAAAAAGTAAAAAATAACAACAAAAAGTTTGGGAGATGGGTGCCAACGGCCTGGCAGATAACCCCAGAGACAACTGTGGAGCACTCAAGCAAGGGCACGTCACCAACACTTTGGACAGTCTGGAGGGCAGCAGTGTGGGAAAACACGGGCATTTGTGCTTGAGTAAAATAGGGCTTAGAATCAATTTCACGGTTTTTTTTTTTAAAGATTTTATTTATTTATTTGAGAGAGAATGAGAGACAGAGAGCACGAGAGGGAAGGGGATTAGAGGGAGAAGCAGAGCCCCCACCGAGCAGGGAGCCCGATGCGGGACTCGATCCCGGGACTCCAGGATCATGACTCGAGCTGAAGGCAGTCGCTTAACCGACTGAGCCACCCAGGCACCCTCAATTTCACGGTTTTAACAACACACTATAGTTATGGTAGCTGTCACCACTGCGGGAAGCTGAGAGATGGGTACACGGGACCTCTCTGTACTCTGCAACTACTTATGAGTTTATAATTATTTCAAAACACAAAGTTTTTTTTAAAAAGTGGTACAGGAAAGTTGGACTCTGAACGTGAAGTGGTTTTAGGAATATCTTAACCTATTTATTTTGCTCCTATTTTCCTTTTTACGTATGTGCAAGGGTGATATACAATAAAAATCTGGGTCTACAGAAGTCTGAGCAGCTCATTCAGAATATGTATCAGAGACAGATTCTAAGTGATAAAAGAAAACAGCTCCATGCTGTTCCAATGAAGTCATCTCGGCCAGTCTTCCCCAGACCGTGTGCTTGATAAGGCCCCGCAGATCACTCTGAAGTTGGCACCCAGAGAGCTGCATCATCAGACTGTGGCTGTCCCAGCCCTACGGGCAGGTGACCACTCCGCCCCACCTCTGCCCACTAATGCCACGCCTGGCGGTGAGGGGACACCCTACACCACAGCTCCAGGTCCCTTGTGTGAGCTGGAAGCAAAAGGGGAACAATGGGAGGGACTGCCCCAAGTTTCCTTTTTGCCTTTTTCCCACAGGGCTGCCTCCAGCCTATAGCTGCTTGGTGACTGTGCTCCTATTTAGTTAAGAGGTGCTAGAATTTCAGCTCACACTGGCGTCTCCCTGTGCACCGTCTGGCTCCCCAAAGGGTTGAGTCTCTGCTGAAAGAACATCCAAAGGCATTTAGCAGTAGCATTTGGGCTGCCTGTCTGAGTGTGTGAATTCTATCCAAAAGCCGCAGATGTTTCAGTTATTTCCTCCCGGAGTTTGAGGGAATAATAGAAGGTTACTGTTGTCACAGTAAGGAGCTCTGCAGCTGGCCCCATTTCTTTTTATTACCATCCAATGTAAACAGATTAAATCTAACTGCTTGGATCACCAGAAGGGTACATTTTTAAACCAGAAATTCCTTATTTCTTCTCCCTTTTTCTTCAAGCACCCTCAGTCCCCTTTCAGATGCCATTTTTCATCCCTGGGAGTGTGTTGGCAACTGGTGGCTCAAACTAAATACCTTTTCTCAAGTTCACACTCCTTTCTCAACAGCCTATGCTGCAGGAGTGAGCAGGGAGGGACCCTGCCCTTGAGGGCCAACTGTCCACTTACTGCAGTGACACAATGGGTTGGGTAACCCCAGACGACCGCTGGGGGCCTTCCCCCACACCTCTGGCTCAGCTCACCCCTAGCTTCCTGTGGACTTCCTCCCTAAGAACCCACGGGGCTCCTGCGCTTCCTGTAAACCCAACTCCAGAAAGCCAGTAAGCGGCCGGGAAGAGGGAGATCCTGGAGCTGCCCCCTAATGGACAACAAGCAAGACAAGTGCTGGGGAGGCTGCAGGAGGCTGGGGATGGTGTCCAGGTGTCATTGCTAACAAGTAACAACCAGCGAAACTGCAGGTGGGTCATCTAGTACAGGGGTTTTTGATACTTTTTTTTAAACAGATCTCAAACCCTTGTCTCGAAAGAAATTTTACCTGGAATTCCATGATAAAAGTGACTCAGAACAGAACTGCTCTGTTTGGAGGGAGTCAGAGCCCTGGTCTCCTCCCAACACCCCACAATGACATGTGATGGGGCACCAAGGAATATAGTTTGAAAACCACGGGCTTTGTCTAAAGATGAAAACACGAGGCAAGTCTAGAGAGAGTAAAAACCTACCACGTGGTCAGTTAATGGCAGACCAGAGTCTGCCTCTGCTTTACCCCTGTATCCATGTTCTGTGTCCTTAGAATGAGCAGTCTTGGTCCTTACAACAATAACCTCTAGCTTCCAGGATGAGCAAAAAGTTCCATGAGAGAGACAAATCATATTTTATCTAGTAAACACAATATGTAGTAATGGGGGCCTCTATATAATCCAGTTTAATGATATCCAGAGATGACTAGCTGAAGGGTTAACTTTTCATGCCAGCACAAGGACAATGACAGCCACCAGCACTGGGAAGACACAAGGCCCTGAACACGGTACTACAACCCAATGCAAGCTCAAAGGGTGCAGGTGATGGAGCGTGGGTGGAAGACACACCAGAAGAATGAGCTCTACATCCAGATTCCTTTCTTTTCCTTCCTCCCCAAATGCAAGATGCATTTCTTTAGTTAGAAGAAATCTTTTGTTATCTCCCACACTAGCTGGTATGATGGCTTTAAATCAATTATGGCTAATCCCACAGATCTCTGGGATATAGCCATAAGGCATCCTTCCATTTTTATCCATTCACCTGTATTCATGGGGTTCGTTTCTGTGACCTCCTCTTTTCACTGAGACAGCCCGGTGTAGTACAAGAGCTCCATGGTGGGAATTCTAGTCTCTTGACTTCTAGACCTTGCTTCCAGTCCTAGCTCGTCCATGCCCAAACTCTGTAACCCTGGGCAAATCACTTAACCTCTCTGAGCTGCACACACTGTAGCTCATATAAAATCCCTATAAAATGAGAGGCAGGCATTGGGAAGACGAAATGAAATAAAGCACATTAAAGACTTTGAAACTATAAAGCCCATAAAAATGTGGGGTATCCATGTTATTACAATTATTTCATCAGTGGAGCAGACACATTTTACTGCATCACTTCAGAACTGCTCCTGGAAATGCTGTTCTCTGGGCTCCTGCCATGATTGTACACCTACCCTCTCCGTGTGAGGAATGCAGGCAAGTTCGTGGCTATGGGGTTCCCAGGCTGGTCTTCCCGGCCAGCCTCCCTTTCGGTGGTGTCTGGAGCAAAACAGCACTATAAAATAACCCTCGAGCAGCCAAGTGTAGAAAATTAAAAAGAAGGATCACTAATCCAGACAGGAAAAGGCCTGATTTATTGCTCTAACCACTCTGTCATAAAATGGCAATGAAACAAAAACACCATTCTATAGGATGAAGGGAGAGGAAATTTAGAGTTGGACAGAAAATCCGAAGGAAATGAAAGTGCTAGTGTGCTCTGAAAAGTAACTCTCCAAATAAGCCAGTGGTCACCTTGATGTTTCCAGGCCTCCGCGATGCCTTCCAGACCTCAAGTGCTCAGCTTGCACTGAGTGGAGGCCTCTCCTAGCTGATGGTGCTGAGAATTCCACCAGGGATCCTCGAGCCTCTCTCATGTCATCACTGGCCAGATGAGAACCCAACCGAGAGTTAGGCTGGCAGGTGCACGAGATGATGAATGAGGCAGGCAGGGTTCTGCCGCCGCACTGCATGGACCAATTAAGCTTGTGCGGGCTGCTTGTTTCAGCGGGGAAGTTCTTTGGGAACAGAGGTTGGCAGGAAAGGCTGCTCTCTCTACTCCGTTTTCAAAATGCACCTTCAGATAAGGGCTCTCTATAAAGACCACTGAAGTTGTAATCTCTGAACGTGCTCAATGGCCAAAGGGCCACGTGTAGAGGGGGAAGACCCATTTTCAGAAGCAAACGTTTGGTAGGAGGCACATGGAAAGGCAACCTGGACTTACCTGATCTAAATCTCCTTTCTCCATCGCCAGTTCCTCCATCTCTGGTGCTGGCTCATCTTCCAGGAAGGGATTGGTGGATGGGGGTGGAGACTCAAGTTTTTTCTGCTAAGAAGATGAGAGAAAGAGGTTAAGTATTTTCTGAGCATATTCTTAATACCTTTCCCCATTGATCTGCTTTTTCCGAGTCTCTCCAACCCCTAAATCATGAAATCTAAATCTGATCTAATGAGCAAGGACTGAGACAACACGGACCACACTCTTACTTCCCAGCCTTCATAATATTTCCCATCTTCCTGAAACCTACTGCCCACCCCACCCCAATCCCAATCTGGCTAAAATTCTCATTCATCCTTCAGCCCTCAAATTAGAAGTCCCTTCTTCTGGGAAGCCTTCCCCATCTCTTAAGTTTGGGACAGATGTCCCTGCTACATGTTTCCATCCCACCCAGTATGTCTACCTACCCAGGTATTTATTAAAATATCGCAACTGTCCATTTATTTGTCTTGTCCCCACTAGATTCCATGATGGCGAGGGATCATGTCTGTCTTGTTCCCCTTCCTATATCTGGGTGCCTGGCATTTCCTAGCTGCTCCCTAAATATGAAAGAATCAAAATGCTGGATGGGATGGAATTCAAGAACAAACTATAAAGCTAATCTTAATCTTATGTGTTCTAGATTATAGACAGAAGTCTCTTCCCAAATAAGTCTCATTACAACAAGCACAACAGAATCTCCTTGGGAAAGATTAGTTCTCAGGACCTGATTCTGACCACTCTTTTAGCACATGTCATTGAGTGGGACCACAGGCTGGAGTGGGAAAGCTGGGGGCAGGAGGTGTGGATTTTAGCTCCAACTCCGCAGCGCTGGCCAATTGCCTAACTTCTCCTGGCCACAGCAGCCTCATCTGTTGCACAAGGTTGCAGTTATAGGATTACCAGAAGAATCAGATGTGATGAAGGGTGTGGAAAAAAAAAGGGGGGGGGTGCGAAAGGCAGCAAGGAGCACATGACACGTATAAGGGACACTGGTGATGATAACTCAGTGCAGCAACAGAATCGAGGCAGCTCTTGGGAATTTTTTGTGCAAATTTGGCCCCAAGATGTTGTTTATGCCAGGGAGCTAAAAGAAAACTAAGTGGACAAGGAGGAGAAAAGGGATTGGCTGGTGCTGGGGATGAGGGGAAGGGTCAAAAAATGGCTCTTTGCAATGTCCACAATAGCCAAACTATGGAAAGAGCCAAGATGTCCATCAACAGATGAATGGATAAAGAAGAGGTGGTGTATATATACAATGGAATATTATGCAGCCATCAAAA